CCGCACAGCAACATAAAAACAAAAAAACCAAAATATTCCGCTCTCATAAGTTACTCTAGGTTGGCGAAGAAATACGACCGGGGTTCAGTCCGAACTGGCATACGCTGGAAGCGCTACGCTACGCTGCCGCAAGTATAAACGCAGCCTAATTCGCCACGCAGGCAGCCGTCGCGTGCGGCATCGCTTGCGTGGATAATGATTTTTCTAGGTTATAGACAGACAGTGTATAACCGATAATAGTCACAGATGCCTACGTTGTCATAAGCTCCACGAAATCCAGCGCTCGGGTCGACAGCTACAAATCAAGAAAAAAACCACGCATATCGCTGCACGCGACGGTGTGGCAATCTACGATTGTCTTGACCGTCTCCTTGACTATGAGAGGATTAGTGTACATAAACGGGAAAAACCAGCAATCGAATTTATCAAATTCGAAAGGAAATTTGATAGAAAATTTTTCAGCCCATGTACGACCTTCCCTTTCCCGCTAGGGAGGGTCAAGTCCCAGCTCGGCGGAAGCCTTTGATTCATGGCAAAGATTAAATCGGGTGGAAGCAGATTCTGCTATTTCCCATCCCATGTTTGTAGTCCACCCGGAGAGTTTACCTATTTCGGGCAATTTGGCACAAGTCTCCTTTTTGTAGTTGTGTACCGACCAGTTTTGCTATGAAATGAATGTTTATTACGGCAAACATTCGAGTTTTTGTCATTCTCGGGGGCCTGGAACTGGCTGGTATTATTGAGCATTTCATTCCATTCGAATGATGATTTGTCCCCGCCAAGCCACAATAAGCAGTTTCTGCGCACAAAACCTGATTCTCCTAGAAACATAGCTCGCGTATTATAGATGTTTCGGTTCTGTAGGGCACGGGCTGCCCTTATAAGTGTGCCATATTTGGCACTTCGGCGCCGGACAAGTACAGCTCTTCCATTGGTTGCCGCTGTCCCTTGACCTCAACTTTGAAAACCCGTCATATTCCTTTTCCTCTAAAACATTCTTCCTCACCATTTCCGCCCTCACTTGCATTCAAACGCTCTTTGAGACCTCACGCTTGTCTTGACCCCACTCCCTCTATACGCTTGTCCCGGGTGGAACTTTACTGATAGTTCACACCAAGTTATGAAGTACCTTATCCACCAACTCATGCTGTCTTTCTACCTGCCCTTTTCTATTTCTACCACTGTTCAAAGGTAAATCGGAGAGGGAATGCGGCCTAGGTATAGAATGTCTCCAAAAGCTTTGTGGAGAGGGGGGGGGCTTAATGTAACTTACTTTCTCGACGGCGACTCCATAGAATTTGACGACATTCGGATGCCGATAACGCCTCATAATTCGAGCTTCTTTACAAATTTCTCTTATTGTTTCCTTGCTGACTTTTTGTCCTTTATGAACTTTCACTGCCACCTTAAATTTGGTTTTTATTTATTTATTTATTTATTTATGCGTAATTACAACGCGCTCAGACAAAACAAAGTAGCAAAGGCAGATGACGCGATTTTAGAACTCCAAACCATTCCTACTATTTATAATCCCGCCTAAGTCTTGTCTGTTGTCTGTTCGGTGTGTGTGTGTACAGGGGGGGCCAAAAAAAAGTCATTTTGCCTCCATGACTTTCAAGGCGCTATAAGTTACACTTTATTAAATTTTTATCGGACATTTTTACTACCATATTAAAGAGCACATTAAATACTATAATGATACTCCGCCACAGCCTTCTGGAGAGAGCGCCATCGAGAGATTCAAGCGCATCGCGGGAAAGAGGTGGGGTACCGGAGTTGACGGCGAAATCGCCTTTAGATTTACTCCGCCACGATAGACCACCTCTCGTTGAGCCCGGCCCCGAACTATAATTGAGTTTCGGTTTACGGTCAGAGGCGACATATTTCAAGTATTACATCTCATCAGCCGTACGAAACGCCCTTCCATTCGAAGTAGGCGGGAGTTTTTCCAAACCCTTCGATTCCATGTGGTGGCACCCAAACCTGTAGCAGCACAAGGTCTCCAAAAGGTATCGGGCGACCACATGTAGGGAGGATATCCTTCTGCGGTTGTTACTTGATAGTAACTGCCAGCCGCTCACCTCACGGAGGGTCTACAAACGAAAATATCGTCTTCCACATTTCCAGCGTGACGCGCCGGTCCACACCATTCAACCCGCGCCGCCCGTGAAGGTGAAGATGATAGTCCTGGACCGAGCACGTCTGCCGGATCTGCTCGATGTTTGAGGTCTTGCAGATCAAGAGTACTGGTCTCCAGGTAGCTATCCATGGGTGATTCCATTCAAGAAGTTCCGCAGCTGTTTGGAGGCCACGTGAATTCCAAAGGCGTTCTCCACTCAGGCCGCGACTGGAGATGACTTCATATTTTGGTGTACATGAAGGTGAATGGCGGCAGCCGGCTCCTGCTTATAGAGGAAGATCTTGGGTATCTTCCGCCCTGGTACTCATATCCACTTCCTCTGTCTGGGCTGCGAAAACTTCGCTCATATGTGACTCGGCCGGAATGACTTTTTTTTTGGCCCCCCCGTATGTGTGTTGTGTTTGACCGGAAAATTCATAAACTTTCTTCAAAGGAGCCGGCGGAGCTCTCAAACTGATAAGTGCATTAGGGTCGCCGGCAGGCAACACTATGCTAGATGGGCAGCGAACTGATAAGATGCCTGATAAATAACCGCAGGGGGTCTTAGAAGGGGAGGGTCACCAAATTCATAGCGTCGGCCAGAGTAACGACCGGACGTTGGATCCAAGTAGCAACATAGGGGGCAGGATGGGAACATTATTGTGGTGGCAGGAAGTGATAACCGCTGATAAGACCGATACGCAGAGCGAGCCTCGAAAAGAGTGGTTTACCGAAAACTCATAACGCCAGAGTAACGCGCCTGAGCTCGCGTTATGGAATCCAATTTAGAAGATATTAGGTAGCAGTAGATGAGGGATTCATTTTCGTCGTGGGAGGTGCCAGGAACTTGCATAAGAGCTGCATAAGATGAGTTAGTGCGCGTTTCTAGAAGGGTGAGGGTCACTTAAATTCATAAGCACCGCGCGATAGGAGCAACGACTAGTGTGACACTTTAAATCCCAAGGTGTGGTAAGACAATGGGGGTCAGGATGGCGAACATTATTGGTACGTGGCAGGCATGAAACAGCTGATAAGATACTCATAATGAGGCCTACAAGGGAACTCGATTAACACACAAAACTTGCGCCACAGCCACGTAGGTGTCGTTTCACTGAAGTAAGAATAGCGGGCAGGAATGGGCGACTTATCGCGTAGGGTGGGCAGTACGTGTATAACAGCTGATAGAACAGCCCTTTAACAACAGCGTGTCCGTAGCAACAGTGGAAACTCCCACATTCAAGCAAGTGATCCAGACGTTTTTGTTGGAGCGGAACATGGTGCGAACTTGGTGGCAAGAGATATGTTTTCATAACTGGCTCCTGACAACGGCTGAGGTAGAGTAGTATCCTGTCCCCCTCCCATACTTCTGCCTTGCGTTGACTTCAACCACTTGTGGTCCTACAATCGATGAGCAAAGCTTGAGCCACGCACTCTCTATCCTTGAGCACCAAATTGAGTAACCGCTAAACTCTAAAGATTCTTCCGAAAGTAAAACCTTAAAGATGTTTGTCAGTGAGGAGTAATAAGGGCCGATCAGCAACGGAACTTGAAAGCTGTGCTCAAACCTGTGAAACGTCCCTAGGAAATAAGTAGCTCGCTCGACCAACGACTTTGGATAAATTTTTAGCGATGCCCGAAACTCTTTCAACCGCAAGTTTCTGCCCTATTTCCATCAAATGGTGGGTGTTTTTAGAAACGTGATAAGCATCAGACATTGGACAAATGTTCATTAAAAAGGTGAAATATGGTGCAGTAGGCCGTACTTCGAGACAATGGAATCAAGCCAAGTTGTTAGGTGTCGAGCATCAGAAATCCTTATCAGCAATTAGCACCCCGGTCCGGACGCGTCATCGATTGCTGCGTCAGCCAAAACTGATTCTCAATGATTCCAACTAGAACTCATTCCTCTACTTCCTATATTATTTAACGACATCATGTCACTGCACCCACGAAGCTACGCTCTATTTCCAAAGATGCTATTGGGTTGTTTACAAGATATTATGAACAGGCCAGCAATCTGGAACCTTAATCACTCTACGGCCATTTCTAAAGGGTTTGCTTGCTGAATGCGTGAGTGTGCGATTGCAAAGCAAGACGCGTTAGCGAGGGACAGATATGCAGGGCAAATAATTAGGCCTGCCTTCAAGCGGCGTATATCCAACAGGCCTTGCACTTATTCCCGTGTTATGGTTATGAAACGGCTACAAGTCCGGCGCGATCGTCCTGACTAAGGCAGGGCTCTCCTCCTGCGTGTGATCGGTGGACGCTTGACCTGCTGCTTCTGCTCTTGACGCCCGCCCCCACCCCCCCCCCCCCCCCCGAACGACGCGCTCCTTTTTCAATCCCTCTTGCGCTTTGCTGGCCGCAGATATCATATCGCTTGATTGCTTTTAACAGTTTTGCGTGTCGTGTCAAAGCGTATACTCCGTAACTTTAGCATACGCCGGCAAGTATCTGTCCCGATGCGTCCCGGCAAAGCCCGGGCATATGTCATCAAGAAGGGAGGAGCGCCCTAGCGACTGGCGATCGTACTGCGTAATACAAAACTAAGATCCAACAATCCGAAATAAAAAAAATTCCCAAGTGCAGTAAATTACAGGCTCCCAGTAGGCCTGTTCGACTGCCTTAATTTGGTAGCCTTCATTAATAGCGAGTGTTTTTTTTGCGCATCTTCTTGGTTGAAAATAGTCTGGTGTGGTTGGCCGTGGTCTAGAGCTAAGGTCCTCTTCTCTCACGCTTCACCTGGCGCCAGCCCGTTTTCCTTCGATTCTTGCAAGTTGTAATAGTCAATGGCTGTGGGAGAGGATCTGTCGCCGCGCCAAAACCTGACACTCCCCCACTGATTTCTATGATTACAACTCTATAAGGCTATTATGGAACATTACCATGTTACCTTGTGTACGCTACCTTCGTATGTCATGACTCCAGCATAGACTCCTCCAAAGGCACCTTCACCGAGTAGTTTGTCTAGGTTGATCTGTAAAAAAACTTCACTTCTCGTTGGTTAGTTGTGAAGTGCCTCAGCTGAGTACCTACCCATTCATGCCGTAATTCCCATTTCTGTTTCTTCACAGGCGTAATCAACATTGCTCCAGACTGCGTCGTGACTGGTTCCTGCCCCCGAACGTAGTACTCGATCAACGTGTACATGTCCGGGAACGAATTTCTTCCTATGAAGTATTTCCCTTAAACATGACAACCTTATCTATTTGTTTAATTCCCTAATCGCATAGTGAATTTAAAGTAGTGGGGCGGTAAGTTGGCTCGGTGCGGCTCTGGTCTAAGGTGACTATGCCTGGTAGAAAGCAAAAACAGACATTTAAACCGGCGGACTGGGCCGTGTTTTATTGCCGACGGCGCGCTCAAAGCGTCTTAGCAAGGCCTAGCCATTTTGTGAAGAAGTTTTGGTCCGCCTCCAGTTGGCCGTCTGTGATCTCTACATGTCCGCGCTCTATGGCCATTGCGGCGCAGTTTCGTGATCGGTGATAACAAGACGACTGCTACAGTCATTTTCCCTAGAAACGAGAAGGCGCGTGGAGGGGCGTGGATTAGAACACAGCCAGGGCGGCCATTTCCACCATTTGTTGCGGGCTCAGAAGGAATCAATTGATTGAGAGGGCCACCCCGACTGCGCTCTAGTCCACGCCCGTCACCCTGTCGTTTGCAGGGTTAATGACTGTAATTTATCATCAAATTAGTGCTTCCGATACCCCCAAATATTTTCAGAGGATCGGAATAATTACCATCTGATTCTCCAACGATAAAGTGATAGTTTCTTCCATTCCATCGCGAAGAGACAACTGTTCGCCTACCCTGTAATTAGACAATATTCTTGATTTTAAGAGATACTATAGGTTTACGAGTAATGAGTGAGGCTGTAGCAGAGTTCGAAAGCATTTGAAAAGCTTTCCGTGTAGGGGGGCACTCCATGGCGCCTCTGAACCTAGTTATGAGTTAGGTCGCTGGTGGTTAAGGTTTCAGAGCAGGGACTACCTGCTCTGAAAGAGTGGGCCGCGACGGTCCCGAGCCTAACAATAAGCCTTGGCAGGAGGAATAGGTACAGAGGAGCTGTGGAGTGATCTGACCCTCATTCCGATGGAACCGCATGATCATCGTGCAATTCCTCTAGAGGACACCCTTTGAAAAATGTGTCTTTAGGCTTACTACTTGCCAGTCAAGTTTGCATGAGGTTACCGGTGAAGTGTGAAAGATGACCGGCACCTCCCTTCCCCCCACCCCTTCTCGATGAATACCCATCACACTCGAGTGTTTGAAATTTGTTCCTTGGTTGAAAATGTTTGCAAATAGCTAAACAGTTTCGAGTCAATCGTAAAATGTGAATTACCGTTTTTGGCGTCGGTTCCGTCACACGAACTAGGAAATGGCCATTTTTGGTGAGTAATCTGAACATGACTTCGAATGAGGTACAATGGATAACTTCAATCATCCTACTGTATATAAGTTAAGTATATCTGCGTGCGTATGTCTGCTTGTTACGAGATTTATAGCGGGAGGGAAGACATTTGTACAGGAAGTGGTAGTGGGGAT